CTGTGTGCCAGGCATCATGCTAGGCACTCTGAAATAATGTCAGTGACAGCTAAAGCTGTGGCACAGATGAGGTCTCAGAGAAAGGAGGATTCAGAAAGAGAAAACTGAGAGGAGGGCCGAGGATCCAGCTGGACGTCAAAGTCACATCAAGGGAAATTCATTTCTTGGCAAAGTCAAAGGGTCTCTCCCCCAGTACTGGCTCTGCTGGAACCTGCCACACGCAGGAGAGAGTCTTCCTACTGTGCGGGCAGGGAGAAGCGAGGCAGCATTCACCATCAAGGCCAGGGGCTGGGGGCACAGGAAGGGCAGACATGAAGGTCTTGGATCAGCAACTCCAAAATATCTTGCTGCAGAATGCGGCCCAGAGGCCCTGCAAGCTGGGGTTATTTGTGTTGGCTTATTTTGCAGAGATTTATGTTAGCAGGAGAAAGCTCATGTAGAACAGCTACATTTGACCCTTTGCCCCCATCCCTGTGCTTCTATGTAATTATTATACATATGTGGGGAGGGTGACACCCCCAGAAATCCGGGGTGGGGGAGAGACGGGGATGGTCTTTGTGTCTCTGCAGGTGACGGTCATGATTATTTCACTGCCACAGTGCTTTTCAGTGTGAGCATGACCCAGGGGAAAGCTGGCCCCAGGCCACTGATGGAACTTGGAACATTTTAAATAGACTGGACTGAGTCAGATTCAGGGTGACCCATTTGCGGGGCTTGTAATGATTGAATGGGGACATGGCACTTTAGTAACACAACTCCTACCTGAAGAAACATTTCTACCCTCAAATGAAACAGTGTCTTCCTGAGTGGTCTAATAGACACAGTCCAAGCATCCTCACCCTCGGGGCCCTGACAATGAGATCTGCCTCTCCCTCCACCTCCCCACCTCCTCCCTGCCACTCACCTTCAAAATGATACAATGACAGCAGGAGGGAGAGGGTTTGTGGCTTCCTTGAGCTCTGTATACCAACTTATTCAGCTGTAGGAGTGCTGAGTGATGTGGGGAGGGACAGGTGGTCCAGTGGGGAGGGACAGGTGGTCCACTTGTGAAAGAGGCTGCAGCGTCCTCTCTACCCCCAGCAGCCCCCAGTTTTTCTCAGCCTCAGCAGGAGCCTGCAAGGCCTAAAGGTGACAGTGTTGCTTACCTCGGGGCTGGCCACAGCTCACCCTGTGAAACCCTGCTCTACCTCTGGGACTGTCACCTGGTTTCTACATGGGACAGATCAAACTAAGGCCCTCCCGCTCTCTGTAGTGGGCCCCGGGCTAAGTCACCTCACCTCACTGAGCCTGGGTTTGCTCATCCACAAAATGGGGAGACCAGTGGCCCTTAACTGCCATTGAATGTGAGGTGCACTCTCCTAGGAAGGTCATGGTCATCGAGCCTCAGCCCCCATGGCCTCTGGGCTGCCAGCTCCACCCGCCCTGAAGGCCGCATGGATTGCCTATTGGGTTGTCAAGGCTTTTCCACACTCTTGCTTTCCATGCCCGTTTTCTGCCAAAAGACCATCTTTAAATCAGACTGTTCCAAAAAACCCCAAAATGGTAATAAGTGCTGCCATGGACCCAGAGCTTACCACAAGCTGAGCCCTGGGTCTCACCTGCTCAGCTCATTCAAGCTTCCCCCAAACCGCTTCTCGAAGTGCAGATGTTACCACTGTCATCCCCGTCCACAGCTGAGAAACTGAGACCTGGGGTCGCTCACCTGAGATCACACAGCAAGCCAGTGTCTGAGGACACTTAACACACACGTACAACTGGCACTCCTTAGGCCTGGTGCTATGCTGTCCTGAGCTGCCCCTCGCCCCCACCCACCCACCTCCAAGTGAGCTCTTGGCTGTGACAAGCAGTCATGGGCTCCTTCTAGAAGGAGGTAGTGGCCAGGACTCATTGCCATGGCTGGTGGCCCAGAGCCTCTGACTGCTTAGGTGAAGCTGTTATGCAATTCTCCCAGGATGCCTTCCTCATGTCACCTGGCCAGTTCCTGCTCATCGGTCGCTGCTCAGCAGAAAGGTCATCTTCCTAACCTCCTGAGTGGCTCTGTTAGATCAGGGATTTCTCTGTGTCCAGGTTGTCCACAGATTTCCTCCCTCTTAGCCCACAAGTCCCTGAATGGTCAGAGCAAGCTCAAACTTCTATCTACATCTTCCCAGCTCCACACACAGCACCCACTGGAAATAAACACTCAGCAAATGGCTTTCCAGTGGCTGTGAATTTAGGGTAAATCTGTGCAATTCTGACCTTGGGCCTTCCCTATAAACCAGGGTGTAAAGAACAGCTTGAAAATAGAGACCTTTTGGCCTAGATATTTGGAATAACATGATCGAACTCTGGATATGTGTGATTTATTTTAAGATGCAATTTAAGCCCGATTTCTTCAAAGACTAAACTGACTGCTCCCCAGAGCTGTTTGCCAATGTAATGCTTCCGTAGTTACACTGGCCTGGATGTTTATTGAGTCTTAAATTTAGAGTGGTGAAAAGCCAGCTTTGTAGTTAAACTAGACCTAGGTTTGAATTCCAGCTGTTAACAAGAGCTTGGGCCCAGTGGCTGCATCTGTAAGCCTCACTTTCTTCATCAAAAAAGTGGAGTTGCAATGCTTGCCCCATAGGCTTGTTATAAGGATTAATTATGAAAAAGCTGGTGTATAGCAGAGGCCCAAAGAGTGAGTTTCCTTTGCAAAGAAACAAACATATACAGACTTGGAATACTGGGATTTAAAAGGCTTCCTTCATTCTCTTTTGCTCATTATTTGTTCATTTAATTATTCATACATTCACTTAGTCATATTTTGGGGGAACCAGTGCCTTGTCCAGCAGGAAGAAAAGGGCTGTGGAAATAAAAATATACCTCACAAACATGGTCTCTGACTCATGGAGCTTATATTTGATAGAAGAGACAGTTGATAAGTAAGTAAACATAAGTACTTAGAGCCCATGATGGACTAAAAAGTATCTCCAGTGTAGACACTAACACAAGAAGGGAAGTGAAACAGGGATTAATTGAGGGTGGTTAGTTACAGCTCTTCTGGGGAAGTCACGCTGAGGGAGACCTGAAGTGTAAGAAGGATCTGGCTCTAAAGAGAGCTGGGAAAGGGCTGTTCGGGCAGAGATTATGGCATGTGCAAAGGCCCTGTGGTAGCTGCCAGTGGGGGACAGGGAAGTGGGCAAGTGTTTCTGGGCTGCCTCTTGCTGTGGGCAGGCTCTGTATTTCTATAGGCCAAGGTGGGGCAGCTAATGCAAGGTGCAGCTGGCAGTTTGTGGGAAAGAACGTGAACCAGCAAATGCAGTAGAGACATGAGGGACATCAGAGAAGGAATGAAAAGCCAAGACTGGGCAGGTCCATAGGGGTGTGTCTGGTGGTGTGCACAGCCTGAACACAGGTGGGCATCCTGCAGGCAAGGGGAAACAGAAGCTCCAGAGTCAGATTAACGTGACTTTGTATCTACACCGCAGAGGAAGGCAGAGAGGGATGAAAGCCAATCCCTGCCAGACCAGGTGCCCCGTGAAGACAGGGAACGTGTTGGTTTTGTTCACAACTCTGTCCCCAGTACCTCAGACAGAGCCGGGACCACGACCCTTGTTCCACAAATATGAATTAACTGAATGACTGTCGGGGGGGAGGGGAGCTAACCATTTACATGTCACCTCATCTCATTCTTACCACAAAGAAACATGCTAAGCTCCCCTTGACGACAAAGAAAGCAAAGAGTCAGAGAGGCTGAGTGAGATGGCTGCATACAAACTCAGACCCTCCGTCTCCATGTTCACTTCTCCAGCGCAGCCTGGTGCCCCGTACCAGCCACCAGCCAAATTCTTATAATTGGACCCAGGAGAGTTCCTGCCCTAAAATTTAAAATTTCTTTAAATTTTAAATTAATATGAGGGTATAGAAGATTAGGTTACATTGTTTGTGTTTGTTAGGTAGAGTCCAGGCTGTAGTTGGGCCCCTCCCCAGCTGTGCCATGTCCCCTTCCACTGTGCCTGTGAGGTGACACTCACCAATCCCTGCCCTCCTCTCCCCTTCCCCCCCACACTTGAATTTAATTGTATTTTTCTGCTGTGTCGGAATGTATTTGTTCATCTACTGGTTTCAAATTAATATTGAGTACAGTGGATACTTGCTTCTCCATTCTTGTGATAATTTCAAAGAAGAATGTTCTCCAACACTATCCTCACAATCCATCCTCGCATCTTCTTCCCTGCCCCGACTCCTCTGCCTTTCCTTAGTGTTTCATCTAGATAATCCTGACTATGCTCCCTATTTTAAGGTAAAGTGATCAGCGCCGTAATTCTACCTGCAACCTTAAATCCCCCTTGCTACGTATTAATATTCACAGGTTCTAGGGCTTACAATGTGGATATCTTTGCAGTCCATTATTTTGCCCACCACACAGAGGTAAATAAAGGATAGAAAGAGACCCAGGATTGATTTTAGAGTTTCGTTCTTTCTAGGTTACAGTGAATGGTCTTTCATGGTCAAGAGCAGGGGTCCTCAAACTTTTTAAACAGGGGGCTAGTTCCCTGTCCTTCAGATCGCCGGAGGGCCAGACTATAGGCCCTGGGACAAGTTGGCTGCTAAGGAGGGGACAGGCAGTGGCGGTAAAAACACCCGGCGGGCTGGATAAATGTCCTAGATGGGCTGCATGTGGCCCATGGGCCACAGTTTGAGGACGCCTGGTCAAGAGGGACCATGGGCTGAAAACCTAGGCAAAGCCCTGTTGGCTCTGAGAAGTGTGGATACAAAAGTAACACTACTTTCATTCAAATTGAGGGAGTTGGGGGAGGCGGGCACAGAATGGGAAAACACTTTGTTTCTACTTCTGCAGGTTAAACAGGAGATGTGGAGTACTCATCTATTATTATTCCTGCCCTATCTCTCGCTGCTCCCAGAGCCCTCATGGTTCCCCTTCTGGTAGTCAAACCATATGACGTGTAAAAGGAAATGGATCAGCAGGGTCGCTGACAGGTCACAGCATTTAGCCTTGTCTTCTCACCCTTTAGAATCTCTGCTGAAGGCGTGGACATCGTTTTGGACTGTCTCTGTGGGGACAACACTGGCAAAGGGCTCAGTCTTCTCAAACCCCTGGGAACTTACATTTTGTATGGTGAGTGCAAAACAGCTTTGGGGCCGTGGTTGGTGACAGGGAACACTGCCTGCCTATCTACAGACAGAGGCTCTGAAAGTGAATGGTGCTGATAAGCGGAGCACAGTGGTTTTGGGGATCTTTACTCTTTCCTATATTGCTGTGAGCTGTTTCCAATTATAAAAATAACATATGTCATTTCAAATGTGATCCTGGCTTGACACCTGTAGCTCAGTGGTTAAGGTGCTGGCCACATACACTGGGACTGGCAGGTTCAAACTCAGCCCTGGCCTACTAAACAACAATGACAATAACAACAACAACAACAAAAATAGCCAGGCATTGTGGCAGACACCTATAGTCCCAGCTACTTGAGAGGCTGAGGTGAGAGAACTGCTTAAGCCCAAGAGTTGGAGGTTGCTGTGAGCTGTGATGCCACAGTACTCCACCCAGGGCAACATAGTGAAACTGTCTCAAAAAAATAAATAAATAACAACAAATCAAATGCAGTCCAATAGGCCCACCCAATATGGTCACTAATACGAGCAGAATCAATAAAGGACTTGACGTGTGGAAGGTGCACAGGTAGAAAAATATTAATGGCTTCAAAGGACACTCACATGAGAAGGTTTAAAAGACCCACAGTAGGGTGGGGAAGAAAGGCTGGGATCTGGGGAGTTTAAGGAAGGTTGTATTGGAGATGGAGGTTAGAGTCTCCTTCCCCTCAGCCGCTCCTGAACATCCCAATCAAGACAGAAGCTCTGGGTGGATGGAGCTCAAGTCCAGTGCCAGCTGCTCCCACATCCACTTCTGTGCTCTTAATTGTGGGGAAGATGCCTGAGAAACAACTGCAAGTCGGTTCCCTGCAGCACAGTGGGGCTCCAGAGCCTCCCTCCCCACTCCTGTTTCCTCTCCTCTGTCAGAGACACACAGACTGATTTATTAGTCTCCACAAAGCAAGATAGGCACATACGAAGCCCCATGTCACATTCCAAAGCCAAATTATATTGGGAACATCTGATGTTTGAAATTCTTGGTACCTCTGTCCACTGATGGTACAATAAAAAATTGAGCCTTAATTTTAAAAACCCACTTATTGCCTTGCTCCTCTGCCTCTGAAAGCAATATTGGAGGTGTATAAATATCCAGGCATCTTTCTGTCATCATCAGATCATTCTATCAGAAAGAGTTGAGCTCACCAGCCCTAGGGTAAAGTGATTTCAATCATGGCCGCATATTCGCTTGGAAATGGATGCATAACTTATTATTGATGACAGAACTTAGGAGAGTTCGTGCACGTCACAGGGGTGTCGGATATGACTAACACTGGAGTCAAATGCAGACGGACAATTTATTCCTCCTTACCATTTACCAGGAGTTCTATTTTTGCCCCAATTCCATGATGTCATTTTGTTGAAATTTGACTTGATCATCTCACAAGCATCTAATTCATCCCACTGATGACTCGGTCACTAATCTATGAAAGCCTGGTACTGTGATACCTAGGGGTAGTCACCCCATAAAAGCAGAAGTGATGGTTAACAGACTCTAGTTTATCCTGGCCAAATCACTAAGTTTAATGTATGTATACATGCCTATTTCATTCAGTAACTATTCTCTGAGAAGAACTTACTCCCAAATCTTTGGAGATATGGCAAGAAGGTCATTGAAAAGGCACCAATATAGTACCTGAGTGCTCCCCATACTGCTAAGAGCTCTCTTATCTGGGCCGGCCACCTGAGACCCACAAGCAGACTTTTCTCTCTATCTGGGCATCTTAGAGAACCTTTCTCACCTCCATCTCCCACCTGCCTGAGTGTGGCTTGTTCTGAAGGGCAAAGCTTGGTTTCTCATATCACTGGTCTCACTTATCACCTTTCTGTGCAGACCTTTCTGGAGCAGACACATCACCCCATTTCCTTGGCTTCTGACCATATTTTCATCCCACCTGCCACCTTTTATACTCCACTGTTCCTGTCCATTTACATTCCGAGCTCCACCTCTCTCACCAGTTGAGTACCCAACCCATGTCAGAGCCTCCAGCCCCTCACTTGCCAGGAATCAAACTCAGAATCATAAACGAGCTTCACTAAGCAGTTTATTTCCCAGTCTCAAAGAGCAAAACCAAGAAGACGTTTCACCAACTCATCATGCCATTTAGATGTTGGCCCATATCACACTTGTAAGTCCCATTTTCCAAAGCAGTGAAACAGTCAGTCACCATAAGAAATGTTACCTTCTCCTTGAGCCCAGGGACGCCTACCTACAATAGTCGCCTTGATGCCCCACTCTCATTTCCCTCATGTTCCTAAGGCTTGATTCAATTCGTTTTCAAGTTCTTGCCAGTTCTGGACCAAACGACTGCCATTTTCAGGTGTAACGAGAGATGTTGATGTCCGTGAGCATGGCTTGATTTGGGAATCTTCCATTTGCAGGCTCATCCAACATGGTGACTGGGGAAACCAAGAGCTTCTTCAGCTTTGCAAAATCGGTGAGTATCCATGCATGGCTGCCCTCCTGTGGTGGTGCTGTGACCTGCAGGCCGTGAACTCCCTCAAGACACCGACCTCACCCTCTTTGCCTCCACTTACATCCCTCATTTTCAACAAAGTCTCCCTTCTTGCCCTGCTCACTGTACATGGGCAGGAACCAAGCCTTGGGCTACTTCTGCCTGAACAAAGCAGAAAGGCAGGAATGTTGTTAAAACTCAAGAAAGCCTCATTTCGATTTCAACAGAGATTGCTTACATGTTGGTTGTTTTGATCATCACTCAAAAACGAACTTAGGCTCCGTGCATTTTTATTTGCTTCATCTCCCTGGGGGTATCTCCCCCTGAGATTTCTCCACATCCCATCCCAGTGAGTGGGAAATACAACTCTAACGAGCTCCCGGGGTGATTTGGAGACACAGGCAAGTTTGTGAACCACCATCTCAGGTGATGACGTTCTGAATGTGGTGGCTACTTGGTTTGCCATTGAGAAGCCACATCTCTGGGCATTTATCCCCTGCAAACTGAGGCCTGTATCCCCATCTAGAGCTATACTTGCTGGAATTAAACTAATGTGGACCTGAGCTTTGGTTTTTACCCTACTCACCCCAACAGAGGACTGTTGCTTCTTGGGGGTGCCTGTTTGCCTCCCCCCTACTCTTAGCCTCCTTTGAAACTGGGTCAGCATTCATTAGTCCATCTTGAGAAGCATTTCCTGGGCACCTGCTATTTGTGGCACTGTGCCAGGCCTTGAATGTCACAGAGAATGAGATTGGTGCTTTTTCTGACCCTGTAGGCCTCCTATTCTAACAAAAAAGAGGAACCCCAAATAAGAAAGATGTATCAATCACATGATTGTAAACAGCTATCAAAACTTTGGAGGGGGATAAAAACAGCGTACTGAAATATATAGAAAACACAGAAAATATAGGGTGGGGTGGAGGCATTTAGAATAAGTGGTCAAGGAGAACCATGGGCAGGAGGTAGGAGTTAGAATTCCTTTTACATGTGAGTGCGGCACTGTGGAATATTCACATGCCCCTCAAGTGCCAGCTCTGGCTGCTTGAAACTTCACCCCTAAACATTGCCTGACCCTGGGATGGGTCATACTCCCTGCACTTGTGAGATTAGAATTAAAGGCCTCTCTTTGCTTGTGAGCTTTTAAGCCTGGGTCAAGGATCATTTTGACCACAGAATCTACAGAGGAACAAGAATGGAGTCTAATGAAAGATGGTTCTGGAGTGCATCCCCCCAAAACAGTCTTTGTCCCACTAACAGATGCTCTGTGGTTGTGGCTATAAATAGCATGATGCTCTGGGTAACCACACTGATCCCAAATTATGTACAATTTATAAGAAGTCTTTCCCTTTCTCCTCCTAAATGCATAATTCTTGCATACAGTGTTAACAAATGACTGCAGTGAATTCCATGCTCAGTGAAGGCATTCATAAAAGCACAACCAGGGCGGAGATGGAGATTTCTCTACCAAAAGAGATGCCCATTACCAGGATGCTTCGTAGGAAGAGGTCAAGAGTGATGGCCTTTCAGAGGCCTGGTCAAAAACTAGTTGGTCACTTAGAAGAAAACTGAAGAAAGGGCATGCCAGGAAAAGGAATGATGACTTAGATGTGTGTGGAAGGTTCCACAAAAGAAAATTTTTTTCCCAATACATTCAAGAAAGGGTTAGAAATTAAAGGCATATTGGAGTCAGACATAGATTTTTCGCTCAGCTATCTTCATTACGTTTCATTAGAGCTGTGCCTCAGTCTTTGTTAAACATGCCATTTGCTTTCACACCACAATGACAACGACCCTAACAGGAAGTTCACAGAGCAGTCTGCAGATCAGAGAACGCAAAAATGTCCCTTTAAGTTAAGATGATAATAAAAATGGCTTGTGTTCCTAGAGCACCTTGTACTGTGACAGATACTCTCTAAACACTTCTCAGACATAAACACATTACCTCCTCACAACCACCCCCTGAGGTCTGGGGAGGGAACTGCACACAGAGAGGTCACGTGCCTTGCCCAAAGTCACACAGTTGGCAAGTGACAGAGGTGGGATTCAACTCTCGGCGTTTGGCTCTAGAACTCTCTTACCAACAACTTTGTGTTCATTAAACCGCATTGAGGCATGGAAGACACATTGAGAATCAAATGATTAATTATTTTTCTACCTTTTTCTTGATGCCAAGAAGCCATGGTCAAGTGCACGGCTCTTGTTCAGCCAGCGCCCAGGAGGCCCTGACCAAATGTACTTTAGTAAAGAATTTCACATTTTAGCGTCACCATTGTTTTCAACCTATCTTTCCTACACTTATTTTCCTAAAATGAGTTTTCCAATTAAAAACAAAATCAAAATCTTTTACTTTGGGGAGACTTTTCAATTCTGTTTTGAAAAGAGACAGGAGATTTTACAGACACATTTATATATACATATGACTTAGATATGTGTAGAAGTTTCTAGAAAAAAAAATTTGTCAGACAAAAGACTTCTATATCTGATTCCAGTATGCCAACATACACCTATACACATATATCAAATCATATCAACATAAATGTCATAAATGTTCCTAAGTGCCCATCACATTCCTCTTTGCATTCCAATATTAAAGCTGAGATCAGGCTCGGAGCCTATAGCTCAACCGGCTAAGGCGCCAGCCACGTACACCTAAGGTGGCGGGTTCGAATCCCCAGCTCGGACCTGCCAAACAACAATGATGGCTGCAACCAAAAAATGGCTGGGCGTTGTGGCGGGCGCCTGTGGTCCCAGCTACCTGGGAGGCGGAGGCAGGAGACTCGCTTAAGCCCATGAGTTGGAGGTTGCTGTGAGCTGTAATGCCACGGCAACTCTACCCAGGGGGACAGCTTGAGGCTCTGTCTCAAAAAAAAAAATGCTGAGATCAAACATTTTACCTCTCAAAGCCCTTTAGAAAGTGGAAGTGTAAATTTCTAACCTAGAACCTGCACCCAAGGAAAAGCAACTGAACCAGAATGATTTATAGGGAGAGGTTAAGAGTGATGATGGTCCTTTCAGAGGCCTGGTCAAAAACTCATTGCATTGAAAGATGGTTCTGGAGTGCATAACCAATTGCACAATTGCATAACCATCTCTGTAAGTTACTTCTTTTGATGTCTGGAGGGGGAGAGAGGAGAGACTGGAACAGAGACGGCCACATTTACCGGTTGGGCATCTTCTGCCCAAGTTGTCTCAACTCTAGTCTGTTGATAATTGGGGCTGGGTAATGCTTTCTTATGGAGCCCGTCCTGAGCCTTGTGGGATGTTCAGCAGCTTCCCTGCCTTGTACCCACAAGATGACCAGTAGTGGCATTGCTCCCCCTTCACCTCAGTCATCTCAGACAAAAATATCCCCACGTGCTGTCTTGCCCCCAGTTGAGAACCACTGAGTCCTTCCCACCACTCGGGCTCCATCACTCCTTCTCGCCGTTCCTTTCCCTAAACTCCCCTTCCTTCCTTGTCTTTCTGTGTTGGGCTCCTGCGCACCTGTCCGGGAGGTACCTTCCCCTGAAAAGCTGCTCCTACAGTTGGAGTGGCCACCTGCAGCGAGGCCCCCACCACACTGTGTAAACATCTGTGCCATCCTAACCCTTCACCAACCCATCCCCACCACCACCGTTCACTAAGCCCAGCACTGTACACGTCATTCTCCCAGAACACATAGAGGCACCATCGGGCCACTGGGGTTGGTTGAGAAAAGTGAAACATTGCGGACACCAGGGGGTCAATCATAGAGCAGGATTCAACTCTGGAGCCAATGCTCTTAACCATGCGTGTACCTGAGGTTTCAAGGACAGGTGGCCTTGAGTTGGCTTGGGGTTCTCTCCCCTACCTAGACCCTGCACATCTTATAAGCATCACTGTTGTTTCCTGCACACCAGCAGCAGTGCCTATCAAAATAGATGCTTTAAAAACATACACACCCCACCAAGAGCCGGCCCTTGGACTCTGCTCCCCTGCAGCCCCGCGCTCCCCCTGCACAGCTGGCAACGGTGGTGGTGATGCTGCCGCTGCAGTCCGGGACTGAGTCCCTCTAACCCAGCACCATCTCTTCTTACAGTGGTGGCAGGTGGAGAAAGTGAACCCCATCAAGCTGTATGAGGAGAACAAAGTCATCGCCGGCTTTTCCCTTTTAAATCTGCTCTTCAAACAGGGCCGGGCAGGCCTCATCCGAGGAGTGGTGGACAAACTCCTGGGGCTCTACACCCAGAAGAAGATCAAGCCAGTGGTGGACTCCTTATGGGCTCTGGAGGAGGTAAGGGCGGTGCTTTTTCTCAGCACATCACCTTCTCTTCTTAATCCAGGCAGGTCTGGGCAGCCAAATACAATCTTTTACTAAATGACTTTCTTTTTCCAGGTTGGTTTGTTTTAAAGGAGAGCCCTGAAAAGTCATTTTCCCACAGTGTAGTACTTGGATGGAAGAAATACTTTAAGTTCCTTTGTGTTTCTTGATCAAACCATGTGCCATTTGTGCTATGAACCTTTCACAGGGAGGTCACCAAACTTTGGTGGCTGTGTGCAGTTCAGTCTCTTGGCCTCGGTGTGCAGCACCATGTACGCTGCAAGGGATCACGGTCAGAGCAGAAAACGGCCCAGAGCAAAAAGGATTTGGGTGCTAAGCCTGATACTTTGAGCCCCTGAGAGGTATTGGCTATCGTGATGGCCTTTGGAATGATTGCTATGACTGTTGGGTCTAGTGTTGCACTGAGTCTTTTTGTTAATGAATCTGCCCAAAGTCAGAGTATTTGAAAGCTTTCCTTGCGCATGAAAAAAATTAAGAACCTACAATGTAGCCTTGAACCAGGAACTGGTTGTCTTGGCCCATGTGGGGCTTTGCTAGGAGGAGTCAGGGTCTCGAAAATCCTTCAGGACAAAGGCAGCTTGGGCATTTGAGAAGTTAGTTGTGGCAGCTACTTGTGAGCTGGGTGTCAAGAGGTGCTTCACTTAAAAAAAAAAATCTTTCTAAGTCTGAATTTTATAACCTTGGCATCAGGGTGTAATAAAGCCCCTGAAAAATATTTTAAAATATGTGGAAATGTTTTTTGTTTGCTTTGTTTTGCATTTTGCATGAGCGAGATGCCGTATGATTTTGTGCTTTTGAGACTCACAGCTTTAAATAATATAACAAGTACTAAGTTCTAGGGAACAGATAGAGGGGTGTGCTTCTGCCTGGAGGGCTGTTGCTATTCACCTAATGGACTAAGGTGGCTCAAATCAAATGATTTCTCTAAGCACAAAAATCCTCCCAGAAAGGCTCTTGGGGTGGGAGGGGATCACTGTGTAATAAAACACCACCAGTCCTGGATCTGTGGACCAGGAATGTGCCCATATGCATCTCTCAAATACTATGGAGTCATGTACAGTCTTAAAATCCCAACTACCAAAAGACCTCGTTTCTTAGGAAAAAAGAAATACACACGCATTACAGAAATTGCCAAATCAACCAAAAATATAAGGAGAAAATAGCCAGTGCACGTCGCAGAGAAGGACAACTTCGTGAATGTGTTGGTTTGCTTCCCTCCAGTCTTTTTCCTATTGCTCAGGTTCACTGTGACTCAATTCCTTGCTAAACCAAATCTGATTACTTGTGCCTTCTGCCGTGTCATGGCCAACAGGCCCACTGCTACCATTTTCATGAAAATGTTTGAGATGAGTCAGGCATCCATATAGTATTCCCTACGGCCTCTAACTGGAATGGGGCAGGGTTAGGCTGCATGGGTCTTGGGTTCTCAAGGGTCGAGAAGGAAAGAAAACTGGGAATAGTCACGACCAGGGCTAAGAGATGAACTGGGCTTAAACACAAGGCTCAACGGGACCCAACAAATCGTTAGCATTTTGGCAAGGAGTGAAATCCAAGAGGGCTTCAGTGAGTTCTTATTCTAGTATCTGAAATCACTCATTGGTCACAATGCTAACTGTATTCATTCACTGAGAGCTGTGTGTCCAGTACCGTGCAGATGCTGGAGATATTATAGTAATACAGTGCTGAACAGATGGCCAAGACCCTGGGACTTCATGTAGCTTAAGTTCAGAGGGGCAGGAAGGGGCAGAAACACGGACATGAACAAAGATACGCAGGGCAATTGTCAAATGTAGTAAATTCATGGAAGGAGATGAATTAGGGTGTATGCCAGCGAGTAAGTGGATAAAGACCTAGTTTCCACAGAGCAGTGTCTCTCAACCTCTTTTTCATTGCTGCCCCCCCCAAGGCGTATCTTTAGACATAATTTTGCTTAATTAACACCCCCATGAAGTTTTTAATATCGTATATATGTGTGTATGTGCATATTTATGTCCTGAATGTGTATCTGTGCTTTTATATGTTAAATGAGTAATACTGAGGATTTCTTGAGACTGGGAGTTTGAGACCAGCCGGGGCAATATAGCAAGACCACTGCATCTCAAAAAAGTATTAATAATAATAAAAACTTAGGGGTGTGGATGGGTGGAGGGAAAGTGATTGGAGGGATCATCTCTATAGTTTATCTTTCAAGGGTACAAATGAATCTTTCTAAAAGTAGAATATAAACACCTTAACACAATAACTAAGAAAATGACATAAAGGCTATGTTAACCAGTTTGATGAAAATATTTCAAATTATATATGAAAACACCACACTGTACCCTGTGATTACATTAATGTAACCGCTAACATTTAATTAAAAAAATAAATAAATAAATAAAAACTTAGCCAGGCACAGTGGTTCACACCCACAGTGCCAGCTGCCCTGGAGGCTGAAGCAGGAGGATTTTGCTTAAGTCCAGATGCTTGAGGCTACAGTGAGTCATGATGATGCCATTGCACTCCAGCCTGGGCCACAGGGCAAGAAGACTGTATTTATATATTTTTTAAAGTAATTTTTTTAATCTTCTAAGAATCACTTTGCACCCTTTTGGGGTGATAGTATGCTTCATTGAGAAAGCATGTTGTAGAGTAACTTTCTAAAAAAAGTTTTCTCTGAATAGGTGTCATTTGGGCTGGGACATGAAGGAGGCAAAAAAACTCCCCCAAAAACTGAAAATGAGGAACACTAAAACCAGAGAGACCCTCAAAAACAAAGAGAGGTGGAAAGATCTTGGTGAACTCCAGGATGGATTGTTGTGAGTCAGGGAAGGACTGTTGCAAGGAGAATCTGAATAGCTCAGCAGGGGACAGATGGAAATTTGAATTTTACTCCAAGTACCAAGAGGGGGGCTGCCCTAAGGTCAGAGTCAGGAGGTGCCACAGCATCCTGTCCCCCAGGGCATTATCTGGCAGGGAAGAAGTTGAAATTGCTATTCCGGGTTCTGTGTAACTAAAGATGTGTAATACACAAGGAAGATCTGACTCCAGCTAGGGAGGGGAAGGGAGAAGGGAACATGTTCGTTCACCCTGCTGGTGGGACTGCAAACTAGTCCAGCCTTTTTTGAAAATAAGTATGGATCCTCAAAGAGCTAATAGTAGAAGATCCATTTGATCCTGCAATCCTATTACCAGGCATCTACCCAGAAGAAAAAAAAATCATTTACCATAAGGACAACTTGCACTAGAATGTTTATCACAGCTCAGTTCACAGTGGCCAAGATGAGGAAACAACCCAAGTGCCCATCAACTCATGAGTGAATAAACTGCTATACGCTTACCATGGAATACTAGTCAGCCACAAAGATGGAGACTTTACATCTCTCGTGTTTACCTGGATGGATCTGGAGAATATCCCCCTAAGTATCACAAGAATGGAAAAGCAAGCATCCCGTGTACTCAATATTACTAGTAGGAAACTAGGAGATGAACTACAGACCCACAAGAGAGAAAAACACAATTAAATTCAAATAGGGGGAAGGGGTAAAGGAGGAAGGGGGTTTGGTAAGCTCTCACCCAACAGGTACCATTAAGTGGAGAGGGCACACCTCCCTAAGTTGTGAAGGGCACAACTACAACTTGGACTTCACCTAACAGATGCATACAACGTAACCTAATTCTTATACCCATATATTAATCTGAAATTGAAAGGGCTGACTGAATCACAGGTCAGGAAGCCGCAAAGTGGGAAGCTCAGCTCTCACTAGGGAGGGTCTGGCCAGGCACACATGGCCCATATAGGGCAGCAAGACGAATTCCCTACCTTCAGACACACTGGAGCTGTAGGGAGCGGCTGGAGGACAGAGTCTGCAGAGGAGGCAGTGCAGAGGGACGCAGGGTCAAGGCTGGCAGCTCGTGTGAATGAGGCCAGAATCATGCAAGTGAGTCCAGGACTACACCTCGAAAATGCTTCTCGAGTCCACAGGCTTCCTCCACTGCCACTCCTTGGGCTGTGTGGAAGCAGGTCTCCCTCCTGTAAGGAGACTGGTCCCTCACTTCCAGGGTGATCTGCCCAGCTGCTGCAGTGGCGTTAGCAATACCTGAGCTGGGTTATAGCCACCTTGCTCAGAGTCTTCCCCTGCCGTACCTGAGATTCCATCTGAGTTCTTCCCTGAGATCTAAGGCCCTGCCCACTCTGACTGCCCGCCCACTCATCAGCCTCACTTTGTTCACCTGACAGCCTCCAGCCAGACTTCAGCAGGACACCTGTGTCTAGTCCGTGAGCCCACCAGTCTTCCTGGTCTTTATCATCTGAACCTGTGGCTGATTCTACGTTGAACTTTCCTCCTCCCAATGTTTGCCAATCTCCTTCCTTCTCATAGTTCACCTCTCAGCTTCAATATGACCTATACAGAGAAGCCACCCCAAGCCCCTCTCATTCTCTCTCCCTTTCCCCTATTTGAGACACTCCATTGTACCTACCACTGGTTGAAATGATCTCTTGGTTTTCAGGGGTTTCTTGTTTTTGTTTTTTTGAGGCAGAATCTCATTTGTTCACCCTTGGGTAGAGTTCCCCGGCCTCATAGCTCAGAGCAACCTCAAACTCCTGGGGTCAAGTGATCCTTTTACCTCAGCCTTCCGAGTAGCTGGGACTATAGGCACCCTCCACAATGCCTGGCTAGTTTTTTAGAGACAGGGTTCACCCTTACTCAGGCTGGTCCCGAATGCCTGAGCTGAAGCAATCCAGAGTGCTGGGATCACAGGTGTGAGCCACCACGCCTGGACTGAAATGATCTTACTCATGTGTTAACCTGTTCAACTCTAGCCTCCCTTTGCTAGAATATGAGATCTAAACCCCAGTGCTGAGCACAGAGGAGGTGCTCAATACATATGTATTATGGCTTGGCACCTGTGGCTCAAGCTGCTAAGGCACCAGCCATATACACCTGAGCAGGAGGGTTCAAATCCAGCCC